ATTATTATTATTATTATTATTATTATTATTATTATTTAATCTTTAGTGAGATTCACAGCCTTTGAGGCTGGTTAATAGCTCAGCAGCTTGAGTCCTAACCAAGGACTTATTATTATTATTATTATTATTAACAATATATAAAAAATATATTGAAATTTATAATTTTAGGGGATTGGAAATATAATGCCGGGATTGATTAAATTTGGTTAATGATAGGTCTTATTGGTGTTTTTAAACAATGGGGATATTGGATTTATGGTGGAACATTGAATAAGTAGACGGAGACAGAAGAGAAGAGAAGGGAAGGGAAGGGAAGGGAAGGGAAGGGAAGGGAAGGGAAGAGAAGAGAAAGAAGAGAAGAGAAGAGAAATAGAAATAAAAAATAGAAAAAGAAAGGGAAGTGAAGGGAAGGGAAGGGAAGAGAATATAGAACAGAAGAGAAGAGAAATAGAAAATAGAAATGGAAGGGAAGGGAAGAGAGAGGAGAAGAGAAGAGAAGAGAAGAGAAGAGAAGAGGAAGAGAAATAGAAATAGAAATAGGGTATAAAATAGAATAGAATATAGAAGTAGAATATAAAGTATTTAAATATATTTTAAATAAAAAATTAAATATAGTTTAAAAAATCTGGCCGGCCAGTGTTGGACAAACAAGAACAGCGACAGCTTTAAATCATTCGTGGATATTTAATCCTGTGCTTTATGTTATATTTTTGAAAGTGACTCCCTGCAAATTAAATAGACAATGGATGAGATTCTGAAGGTTAGACAGCAGATTAGATTTACCCATGGAGTAGGGTTGTAGTATTATTATTATTATTATTATTATTATTATTATTATTATTATTATTATTATTATTATTATTATCTTTCTCATCTTTCCTATTGCCTTCTCCTCTTGGTATTTTATGATTATATTACTTTGTTGTTTGTATGTACATGGAGAGTTTATGCACCAGAGACAAATTCCTTATGTGTCCAATCACACTTGGCCAATAAATAATTCTATTCTATTCTATTCTATTCTATTCTATTCTATTCTATTCTATTCTATTCCATTTTCTATTTTCTATTTTCTATTTTCTATTTTCTATTTCTCTTCTGGTCTATATTCCCTTCCCTTCCCTTCTCTTCCCTTCCCTTTCTATTTTCTCTTCCTCTTCTCTTCTCTTCTCTTCTCTTCTCTTCTCTTCTCTTCTCTTCTCTTCTCTTCTCTTCTCTTTTCTCTTCTCTTCTCTTCCCTTCCCTTCCCTTCCCTTCCCTTTTCTATTTTCTATTTTCTATCTCTCTTCTCTTCTCTTCTCTTCTCTTCTCTTTCTTCTTCTCTTCTCTTCTCTTCTCTTCTCTTCCCTTTCTTCCCTTTTCTATTTTCTATTTCTCTTCTGTTCTGTTCTATATTCTCTTCCTTTCCTTTCCTTTCCTTTCCCTTCCCTTCCTTTTTCTATTTTCTATTTCCCTTCCCTTCCCTTCCCTTCCCTTCCCTTCTCTTCTGTCTCCGTCTACTTCTTCTTCTATTCTTAAACTGGCCAGAGCCACTCAGGTGAGCTGAGCAATGCTTTTCTAGGCTGGCACATCAAAGCAGTAAATGCAGCCCAGTAATAAAACATAGGATCGCACTGGGTCACCCCGCAACATTGAACATGAACTGAATACGGAAAAACAAGGACATCAGCCCGGCAATCAAATGTAGTTAGTCCGCTATAATGCGTTCCCCGTAGCTACCTCTGGTTATGAAAATTCGACCTTAAAAAAAGAAAGCAAGACAGGAAAAAATTAGACTCCTTTGAGCTGTGGTGCCGGAGAAGTTTCTTCCATGTTGCTTGGACAGCAAAGCACTGGAGCGCATAACACCAGACATGTCACTGGAAGGCAAAAATCACAAAACTGCATCTCACTTATTTTGGACATGTCATGTGGGAAAATTCACCGGGGAAAGCAATTATGTCGGGAAGAGTTAGCAGCAAAAGGAAACCCGGCCGTCAAAGAACACGTTGGTTGGACACCATCAAAGCTGACCCCAGCCAGAGCATAGAACATAGAACGATAGAGTTCGAAGGGACCTCGAGGTCTTCTAGTCCAACCCCTTGCTCGAGCAGGAGTGTTCTGCCCCAGCTACGGACCGCAAAGAACGCCGCACACTCTATACCATTTCATACAAATGGTTGTCCAGTCTCTTTTTTTGAAAGCCTCCAGTAATGGAGAACCCACAACTTCTGGTGGCAAGTTGTTCCACTGGTTAATTGTTCTCGTTGTTATCATATTTCCCCGAAAATAAGACCCTGTCTTATATTTTTTTGAACCCGGAAATAAGCGCTTGGCCTTACTGCCATGTGCTCAAAAGCCCCATTGGGCTTATTATCAGGAGATGTCTTATTTTGGGGGGAAACAGGGTAGGGATTTTCTCCTTAGTTCCAGGTTGCTTCTCTCCTTGGTTAGTTTCCATCCATTGTTGTCCTGCCTTTGGAAATAGGGTTGCCAGGTCTGCTTCCAAAAAATAGCGGACAAGCGGGGGAGGGGAGGGGGGTTTAAGTAGTAAAAAAAAATTTTTACAATTAAATTATATATTTTCTTACAAACATTTTAACACGTATTAAAATAATCACTTCAAAACTTTACTTAAAATTCAAAACATCAAATATATCATAATAATATGTAAAATATTAAATTACATTTTAATTTCATCATAAAGCTTTTGAATAAAAAAAATGTCCACTATTTTGTGAAAAAAAATAGTGAACATAATGTGAAAAAAGCGGACTGTCCGCTCAAATAGTGGACACCTGGCAACATTATTTGGAAAATAGTTTGACCCAGTGGTGAAATCCAATTTTTTTTTTACTACCGGTTCTGTGGGCGTGGCTTGGTGGGCGTGGTGTGGCTTGGAGGGTGTGGCTTGGTGGGTCTGGCAGGGGAAGGATACTACAAAATCTCCATTCCCACCTCACTCCAGGGAAAGGATATTGCAAAATCCCCATTCCCTCCCCCTCCTGAGGGAAGGATACTGCAAAATCTCCATTCCCACCCCCCCACTCCTGAGGGAAGGATACTGAAAAATCTCTATTCCCACCCCACTCTTGAGGGAAGGATCCTGCAAAATCTCCATTCCACACCCCACTCCTGGGGAAGGATACTGAAAAATCTCCATTCCCACCCCACCCTTGAGGGAAGGATACTACAAAATCTCCAGTCCCACCCCACTCCTAGGGAAGGATATTGCAAAATCCCCATTCCCTCCCCACTCAAGGGGAAGGCTCCTGCAAAATCTCCATTCCCCCCCACTCCAGGGGAAGGATACTGCAAAATCTCCATTCCCACCCCACTCCTGAGGGAAGGATACTGAAAAATCTCTATTCCCACCCCACTCTTGAGGGAAGGATCCTGCAAAATCTCCATTCCCACCCCACTGCTGGGGGAAGGATACTGAAAAATCTCCATTCCCCCCCCACCCTTGAGGGAAGGATACTACAAAATCTCCAGTCCCACCCCACTCCTAGGGAAGGATATTGCAAAATCCCCATTCCCTCCCCACTCAAGGGGAAGGCTCCTGCAAAATCTCCATTCCCACCCCACTCCAGGGGAAGGATACTGCAAAATCTCCATTCCCACCCCACTCCTGGGGGGAGGATATTGCAAAATCCCCATTCCCACCCCACTCCTGAGGGAAGGATATTGCAAAATCTCCATTCCCACCCCACCCCTGAGGAAGGATATTGCAATCTCCATTCCCACCCCACTCCTGAGGGAAGGATACTGAAAAATCTCCATTCCCACCCCACTCTTGAGGAAGGATCCTGCAAAATCTCCATTCCCACCCCACTCCTGGGGGAGGATATTGCAAAATCTCCATTCCCACCCCACTCTGGGGCCAGCCAGAGGTGGTATTTTCCGTTTCTCCAAACTGCTCAAAATTTCCGCAACCGTTCTCCAGAACCTGTCAGAACCTGCTGGATTTCACCCGTGGTTTGACCCCCTTCTTCTTTGAACATTGTTTGAAAATAGTTTGACAACTCAAAGAAGTAGTGCAAGATGGAAAGATGTGGAGAGACCACCAGGCCCATAGAATCGCCAAGAGTCAGACATGACTGAATGGATAACATCGTCCTCAAATCTGATAAATAGAAATAATAAAGAAAGCTCTCTGAAGTGAAAAAGGGAGATTGAATCTATTTATTGTAGGCAAATGGTTTAACTCGGTGATTCTCAACTTTGGCATCTTGAAGATAGGTGGACTTCAATTCCCAGAATTCCCCAGCCATCATAACATAGGGAATTCTGGGAGTTGCAGTCCACCTATCTTCAAGTTGCCAAGGTTGAGAAACACTGAAGAATCGAGAACCTTAAAATCAATTTAAGCCATATATCGATCTGTTTGAGCCTGGGAAAGGCTAGAAAGCGAGAATCCAAGATTCTCCAGATATTCTGTATATATATACATTCTGTATATATATATATATATGTATATATACATATATATATATGTATGTAGGTCTTTGGTTATTCGGGTTTTCTCCCGCGTAAAATTGGAGGTTTCTTGGCAATGTTTCGATGAAGTCTCGTTGCCAAGAAACCTCTAATTTTATGTGGGAGAAAACCCGAATAACCAAAGACCTACATACAAACACCCCGAAAAACCTCAGAAAACATATATATATATATATTATATATATATATATATATATATATATATATATATGCATATTCTTTCTAGCCAGGTTTTACCTACGTAAACTAAGTTGTTTTGCAGCCCTTCTCCGGAGACTCAGGGCAGCTTACAAGGCGTTAAGCAATAGCCTTCATATTTTTGAATATTTATACAAAGTCAGCTTATTGCCCCCACAAACTGGGTCCTCATTTTACCTCCCTTAGAAAGGATGGAAGGCTGAGTCAACCTTGAGCCTGGGGAGATTCGAACTAGCAATAATTGCTAGTGATAATTACAGGCTATTAGTCTGCTGCGCCACCAGGCTATATATATATTTTTTTCCTTTTCTGGGTGGGGACAGGATGACCTGAGGAAGATCGTCACAACCCTCGCAGTGAAGAACGAAGAGATCCAAAATTTCATCTATTTGCTCAAGCAGATGCTTCAAAATGTGGAGGTAATGGGGGTTGGGGAAGACGGGAGAGATAATCTTAAAATATAATCTTCCCTGTGAGGAAAACGGGAGATATAATCTTAAAATGGTTTATCCAGGTGTTCCGGATGCAACAGGGCTCACCTGGTGTTTTATTGGACGATGAGTATACCTGAAAGCACCACTGCTGGCAAAATCAATGTTCTTGATTGATTGATTTATTATATTTTTATCAAGTCTTTATTATTTGATAAGTAACTCAAGGTGGGAAACATATGGAATAACCCTCCTTCCTCCTCCTATTTTCCCCTCAGCAACAACTCTGTGAGGTGGGTTGGGCTGAGAGAGAAGGAATGCCCTAAATTCCTTACCCGCTTTCACGCCAACGGTGGGACTAGAACTCACCGTCTCCTAGTGATTGGCCCAAGTGATTGGCCCAAAGTCACCTAGCTGGATTGCATGCCTAAGGAAGGACTAGAACACTCCCATCTCCTGGTGATTGGCCTAATTCATCCAGCCATCTTTCATGTCTAAGGCGGGACTAGAACTCTCCGTCTCCTAGTGATTGGCCCAAGTGATTGGCCCTAAGTCACCCAGCTGGACTTGCATGTGTAAGGAAGGACTAGAACTCATCATCTCCTGGTGATTGGCCTAAATTCATCCAGTCAGCTTTCATCCCTAACGCAGGACTAGAACTCACCATCTCCTAGTTATTGGTCCAAGTGATTGGCCCAAAGGCACCTAGCTGGATGGCACACCTAAGGAAGGACTAGAACTCCCCATCTCCTGGTGATTGGCCTAATTCATCCAGCCATCTTTCATGTCTAAAGCAGGACTAGAACTCTCCGTCTCCTAGTTATTGGTCCAAGTGATTGGCCCAAAGTCACCTAGCTGGATTGCATGCCTAAAGAAAGACTAGAACTCCCCATCTCCTGGTGACTGGCTTAAATTCATCCAGCCATCTTTCATGTCTAAAGCAGGACTAGAATTCATCGTCTCCTAGTGATTGGCCCAAAGTCACCCAGCTGGACTTGCACGCCTAAGAAAGGACTAGAACTCATCATCTCCTGGTGATTGGCCTAAATTCATCCAGTCAGCTTTCATCCCTAAGGCGGGACTAGAACTCTTCTCCGTCTTCTGGTTGGTGATTGGCTCAAAGTCACCCACCCGGATTTGCTATTTAAGATGGGATTGAACTCACTGCCTCCTGGTTATTTTTATTTTTGTTTACGGAAAGTCGTCCTAAAAAAAATTATATCTGAATTTCTTTTAGAGGGTCACAATACTGCCCATTTTGAGTTCTCCAAGATTCGGGGAATTATTCAACATGGAAATTTAGCAAAGAGGTGGGATTTGGGTATTTGAGAGACACCATCAGTGATGGGATTCAGACGGTTTAGGCTGGTCCAGGCCGGTTCGGGCAAACCAATTGTTAAATTGCTGGCTGGCTGCGCCCCTCCCCACCCCTTCCAGGAATCCCCACACTCCCCATTTTTGCTCCCAGGGGGGTGCAGGAGGCCTAGTGCTGCCTGTCACACACCCTGGCCACGCCCACCATGGCCGGGCCCACCCGAGCCAGTCATTAGGGCAGAGAACCGGTTGTTAAAATTATTTGAATCCCACCACTGGACACCAGGTTGAGTTTCTCCTAAGCCCCCCACTAACACACACTGTTCGACACCCCGAATCACAAAGGAGGGTGCCTGCCGCTCTCCCATCCCATCAGGGCAAAACTACCTCCACCTTCCTCTTCTGTCTTCTCCCAACCAGAGCAATTCGAATCGGGTTCAAGAAGACCTAGAAGCCGAGTTCCAATCTCTCTACATCCTGCTGGATGAGCTCAAGGAAGGGATGTTGATGAAAATCAAACAAGATCGAGCCAGCCGGACTTACGAGCTGCAGGTAAAGGCTGCTCCGCGAAAGAGAGGCTGTGCGTTATGGGTTTTAGGTATCCACGGCTGAGAAGACGATAAAAGAGATCCACGTTGGTTGGGGGAATTCTGGGAGTTGAAGTCCACCCTTCTTAAAGTTGCCAAGGTTGAAAAACGCTGTTCGATAGGTTTGGGCCTCCAAGGGCGGCTACTTAAGGTAGACTGCGCTTGAACAGGGAGGCTCAACTTAGGGCTTTCCCGAAAGTTTGAGCATTCTAGAATGGGAGTCTCCAACCTTGGCAACTTTAAGACTTGTGGACTTCAACTCCCAGAATTCCTCAGCCAGGAAAGCTGGCTGAGGAATTCTGGGAGTTGAAGTCCACAAGTCTTAAAGTTGCCAAGGTTGGAGACTCCCATTCTAGAATCTTTGGTGCTGCTGCCCCCTAGGGGTCACCTATGTATTTACAACCAAGAGGCAGCACTAGTGTTATCGCTAGTGGCCTTCTTCATTATTAATTATTATTAATTAAACATCATCTTCTCTGTTTCCCTTTCAAACTGTACCCGAGCTTTGCAGTCCCTCTCCATCTCGCGCCAGCGAGTTTCTCAAGACAAAAATGCAGCAGAATGTTGACTTGAACCCGGGTCTCTCAGCCAGTCCCTCCCTTTGACCCCGTCCCTGAATCAAAATCCAGATTTTTTTTTTCTTTAAAAATAAATAAATAACATTAATGGGAATTCAGAGCCAGAGAACGAAAAGGGGCAAGCCAAACTTCTCTTCGCTCACTCTTTCAATTTGTTTTTCTTTTTTACTAACATCCTCTCTTGTGTGCGTATGTGGGGGGGAAATAATAATAATAATAATAATAATAATAATAATAATAATAATAATAATAATAATAATATTTTATTTCTATACCGCCCTTCTCCCAAAGGACTCAGGGCGGCATACAGCCTATTTAAAAACAGAATCAACATCAATTTAAAATAATTTAAAAATATTAAATAAATTTGGCTTAATTTAAAACCCCAAAAATTTAAAACATCCAATTTAAAATTATGTTGCTAACCCAGCCTGGCGGAACAACAAAACAACAAAATGCTTTTTCTGTTCGTCTTTCGCACCCAGAACCAGCTGGCAGCGTGCACAAAAGCTTTGGAAAGCTCAGAGGAGCTGTTAGAAACCGCCAACCACACCCTCCAAGGAGCTGAGAATCATGACTTCTACCAGGTAAAAATAATTCTTAGCCCTGTGTGTGTGAGCGCACGTGTGTTTTTGCATGCGCACACGTGTGTACACGCACACGTAATTACAGAACAAACGGTGCAAGGGATTCAAAGCTGTTGGTTAAATAAATACGTGCTAAGAGATTCCACGACGCCTTAATGGTGCATCCTTCTAAACTGGCATGCTGAGGGACAGCTACAACTCCCATGATCCCTCACAAATCGGAGGCTGTGGATGATGGGTACTCTCCTCCAACCCCCTTTTGGAGAACATGGACCCAAACGCCATGATGACCTCAGATTTGGATGGATCCCAGCCTATCATGTGGGTTGGACGACATTTGGAGAGGGGCTCATTTATTTATTTATTTATTTATTTTGATCGGCCCTCGCCTACCTCGCAGGGTTCTTAGGAGGATAAAAAATGCCCCCGATTTGGATGGATCCCAAACTATAACTTTTATTGGCCGATATTTGGGGGCGGGGGGGGGGCTTGTGCAGACTTACGACAATAGAGAGAAAAGTTTCTGTCAGTAAGTGAGACCGTTGTTAAGTGAGTTTTGCCCCATTTGATGACCTACCTTACCGCCGTTGTTAAGTGAGTCACTGTGGTTGTTAAGTTAGCGACATAGTGGTTAAGTGAATCTGGCTTCCCCTGTGACGTTGCTTGTCAGACGGTCATAAAAGATGATCAGGACACTGCAACGGTCATAAATGTGAGTCAGTTGCCAAAGTGTCCAAATTCTGATCACATAACCATCACAGTTTATGTGATGGTTTCACAGTTTCACAATTACGACTGCAACGGTCGTAACTATGAAAAACGCTCGGAGGTCACATTTTTTCCGTGGCGTTGTAACTTTGGATGGTCACTAAATGAACGGTTGTAAGTCGAGGACTACCTGTGTTGTATTTTTAATTCGCCCTTGCCTGCCCCATAGGGTTTTGGGGGAGGATAAAAAAAGGCCTGAATTCGGATGGATCTTGGACAATAGTTGGGTGTTTTATTACATTTTTAATTCACCGCTGGCCTACCTCGCAGGGTTCTTGGGAGGATTAAAAAGCATAGGGGAAGCCAGAGGGTGGTGAGAATGATTTTCTGCATGCATGCAGTGGACGGCAGCTTAGCATGCTTCCTGGGGAGCTTCCTGTCTAAAATGCCCTTGAGATCAACATAAGCGATGCTTCTTTAATTCGTCTTTGTGATACCTTCCTTGCTTTTCTTCTTCCTTTTCTCTTTCTTCTTCTCCTTCCCTTCTTTCTCCATCTTCCTTGCGCTGCTTCGAAGGCTGCTAAACAGATCAAGGACAGGTAGGCACACCTGGCCGCTAAAAGTCAGCTTTTGGCATTGTTATTTCCTCTGGGGTGGGGAAAGCGGGGGGGCCTATGATGTCTTTAAAATAGGTTTAAAATGTCTGGACTTCAATTCCCAGAATTCCCCAGCCAGCAAAGAATGGGGAATTCTGGGAGTTGAAGTCCAGACATCTTAGAATCACTCATTTGAGAAACACTGATTTGTAGTCCAAATTGAAGCTGGCCCTTAAGAGAGATTCCTTTGCCCTCCTCCAAGTAGGCAAGGGGAAGTGCACTCTGCCCATGCCCCAGAGTCCCCTTGACTTCCCATCGTCTTGGCCAGCCAGCCCATCTTCCTACATGTCCTTGGGGGGAGGCGGTCGCTTGGTGAGGCAAGTCACTCTTCACATGCTCAGAAAGTCCTTGGCTTTTGCCCTGGAGGCAGACCCTGCAGAAGGTTTACCCTCAGAACTCTGCACATGCTTTGTAGACACTTTGGCCGATAAGGTTTTGCCAGGCTGGATCCGGGGCGCTGGGTTCTTTGCATGTCGCCTTCTCCGATCCCTCTCGCTAGGCTGCGGAAGACGTGTTGGCAGGGGTGCGATGGGTGGGGTGGGGGGGTTGATGGCGCGCCTTTCTAACTCGCCTCTCCTTCCCCTCCGTAGCGTGACGATGGCCCCGGCCTTCCGCCTCTCGCTCAAGGCTAAAGTAACTGACAACATGAGCCACTTGATGGTGGATTTTGCCCAGGAGCGCCAAATGCTACAGACTCTCAAATTCCTGCCAGGTGAATTGGAAAATGTGATTTTACTTCTGCAAACTAGGCTATATTTTGTTTTTCCAGCTGAAGACTACCAAGTCCATGGTTCACAGCCGGGGTGCATTCTCCAAGCGTATTTTTACTAGATTTTTTAAAAAAATCCCGCCTTTCTTACTTTATCAGTAACCCACAGAGGTGAATATATATAATATTCCTTCCCCCTCCTGTTTTTCCCCTAACGACAATCCTGTGAGGTGGGCTGAGCTGAGAGAGAAAGACTGGCCCAATCACCGGGCTGGTTTTCATCCCTAAGGCGGGACTAGAACTCACCATCTCCTGGTGATTGGTTCAAAGTCACCCAGCCAGCTCTCATACCAAAGGCAGAACTAGAAATCATCGTCTCCTGGTGATTGGCCCAAAGTCACCAGCCAACTTTCATGCCTAAATTGGAACTAGAACTCACAATCTCCTGGTGATTGGTCCAAAGTCACCCAGCCAGTTTTCATGCCTAAATTGGAACTAGAACTCACAATTTCCTGGTGATTGGTCCAAAGTTACCCAGCCGGCTTTCATGTCTAAGGTGGAACTAGAACTCCCAGTCTCCTGGTGATTGGCCCAAAGTCACCCAGCCGGCTTTCACACCTAAGGCGGGATTAGAACTCACCGTCTCCTGGTGACTTTTCAATGTCACCCATCAGCTTTCATGCCTAAATTGGAACTAGAATTCACAGTCCCCTGGTGATTGGTCCAAAGTCACCCAGCCAGTTTTCATACCTAAATTGGAACTAGAACTCACCATCTCCTGGTTTACTAGCCTAGTGCCTTAACCACTACATCAAATTGGTTTGCAGGTAGTCCTCAACTTACAGCCATAATTAGAACCAAAAAATTTGTTGTTAAGCAGCACAGTCATTAAGTGAAGCATCATGTAACTGCATCTGATTGGCAATGATATTGGAGTTGTCATTAGAAGGGAGAACAGGCCATAGTTGATGTGCAGGAATCATAGTTCCTTCCCCAGGAAAGTAAAAACATTAGCTGAGGTAAAAAGCTAAAAACTCAGTTATTAAAGTAATTTATTAGAAAAGAGACAACTCATTTATTCTGTAATATATACTTAAAGTTAGTCTTGGTAAGGATTTCAAGCAGTGTTTTTTTAAAACTTGGCAACTTTAAGATGGTTGAACTTCAACTCCCCTAATCAGCATCTGTGGACTTCAACTCCCAGAATTCCCCAGCTAGCATGCTGGCTGGAAAGGGAATTCTGGGAATTGAAGCCCACACATCTTAAAGTAGCCAAATTTGAAAAACAGTGCTTTAAAAGGTATTAATCAACCTTTTCAAAAACTGGGGGAAATAAAAATGGAATTAATTAAAATTGAATTGAATTCCCCCAAAAACCTGAAATACAATTTTCCCATTATGGTCTTTAACAATTTTTAAAACTAATTAGCACATGTTTATTAAAGCCATGGGGAGAGTTAGTAATTTTCAAAAATCCTCATTCCCTCTACCTTGAGTGACTGATGTAGAACTTGAAGAGACAATTGAATCTCCTAGGGAAAAGGGACTAGTCCCTGGTGAGGCCGAAACGAGAATCCTGATTGCGAATCTTTTCTTTTATCTCTCCGATTTGAAACATAGTTCCCAGCGCGCCTGAGATAGATGTGGCTGAATCGTTGGTGGCCGACAACTGCGTAACACTTGTTTGGAAAATGCCGGAAGAAGATAGCAAGATCGACCATTACGTGATGGAATATCGCAAGACCAACTTTGAAGGGCCTCCACGGGTCAAGGAAGACCATCCCTGGATGGTTATTGAAGGGATCAGACAAACCGAGTATACGCTGTCCGGTAAGGCCAAGCAGGTTGAGATACAAGAGTTGGGTTCAAATTTTCCTACCTGGGGGGGAGGTCAAACACCCCCTCTCTTAGCGGGGTGGGTGACTATCTTGCCCGCTATCCCGACAGAGAGATTTGGAATTCGCACCTTGTCCGAGGACGCTAAAAAGGTCTGGAACAAACCATGATGATGTCATGCTCATTACGATCAGTGGTGGGATTCAGCCGGTTCGGGACGATTCGGGTGAACCGGTTTTTAAATTGCTGGCTGGCCCCTCCCCTCTCTGTCCCTTCCGGGAGTCCCCACATGCCCTGTTTTGGCTCCCAGGTAATTGCAGGGAGGCCTACTAGGCCCAAAATGGGGCACGGGGGGGGGCGCAGCACCCCCCTCCCCCGTGGCCCGATTTTGCTCCCAGGAGGCTGCAGGGAGGCCTACTAGGTCCAAAACGGGGTGCGGGGCAGTGGTGGGTTCCTCCCGGTTTGGTCCGGTTCAGCCGAGCCGGTAGCGGTGACGATATGATGCCACCGAACCGGTTCTCCCCCCCACCGCCCTCCCACCCCCCCACCCACCCCACGTTATTCTTACCTTTTATTTGGTCCCACCCCCAATCTATTGCTGCCTCCTGAGTCCCAGCTGATGACTAGAGGGAAAAAAACTGTTTAAATTCTTGCCGCGGGGCTTCAAAGGACCGCCCTACAGCTGATCAGTGTTAAAAGCAAACAAATGAGTCGGGTCGTAAGTACGAGGACTGGTCGTAAGTGCGAGGACCTTCCAGAAATGACTCTGACCAGCTAGCCACGCCCACCTAGTCACATGACCTCCAAGCCACACCCACAAAATAAGCCACGCCCACAGAACCAGTAGTAAAAAAATTTAGAACCCACCCCTGGTGCGGGGGGAATGTGGTGCGCCCCCCCCCCCCGAAACCCATTTTTGCTCCAAGGGGGGTTCAGGAGGCCGAGTGCTGCCTGTCACACCCCCTGGCCACGCCCACCATGGCCACGCCCACCCAGCCAGTCATTAGGGCAGAGAACCGGTTAAATTATTTGAATCCTGATTCCGATGACATTTTGCACAAACCACCATGATATCAATCAATCAGAATAGAGCTGGAAGGGAGCTGCTCAAGCAGGAGATCCTATATGGTGGTTGAAATACCCTATTTTCCCGAAAATAAGACATCCCCTGATAATAAGCCCAATTGGGCTTTTGAGCAGATGCGCTAAAATAAGCCCCCCACCCCTGAAAATATTTAAATTTATGCGCAGCTGGTCCCTGCCATTTCCACTGATTAGGGCTAGGGAGACAGAGCTGGAAATCAGGTAAGATGGCAAGAGGAGCCCCGTATTGCTCCACGCGCCCCCAAATAATAAGACCTCGTGACAATAAGGCCAAGCGCTTATTTTGGGGTTCAAAAAAATATGAGACAGGGTCTTATTTTCGGGGGAAACACGGTAGATAAATATTAGGTTCTCTTCACTTCCTCTTTGCTGCTCCATCTCTACAGGGTTGAAATTTGACATGAAGTACATGAATTTTCGAGTCAAAGCCTGCAACAAAGCGGTGGCAGGAGAGTTTTCGGAGCCGGTCACTTTGGAAACAAGAGGTGGGCAACCCCAAGAGGTGGTTTATGCATAGGTGGGGGGTGGCAGCGTGGATTTCCAGCCCAGATTAAAGATTAGCCAGGATTGGAAAGTTCCAATTTTGGTGTTTGTGGTTTCCTAGTTTGGATTTATGGGGAATATAGGTTTGTGATCCCAATAATGTTAAACTCAGGAGCATCTGGAGCAAAGGTCGAAAAAGTCAAAATGGCGGCTGCATCTGGGTGATCAAAGCCTCAGCTAAAGGCCTGGGTTGAACTTGAACAACGCCAAGAGGAAAGGAGAATGAGGGTTGAGCTAGATAGTCTTAAAGGCCCCTCCCGTTAACTTGCTTCGTTGATCAGTGAAGTTGTGCATTGCAGGAAATTGTCCCTCCCAGTAAGTAGAGCAGACTAGGAAATCCGCAGAAAAGGCTAAAACTATTTTATAAATCTTGGCTATACAGCTAGTCCTCAGTATATGCCCGTGATTCAGGTTGTTCGGTGACCTCTGCGGTCATTAAAGCAGAAACGATCTGGGGATCTTGGATCAAGATTGGGAAGGAAGGGAGGGAGGGAGGAATGGGAAAAGAGGGAGAAATTAGGAGTAGGAAGGAAGAAGAGGGAGGGAGGGAGGGAGGAAGGAAGGAAGGAAGGGAGGGAGGGAGGGAGGGAGAGAGGGAGGGAGGGAGGAAGGAAATGAGAGGAGAAATTAAGAGCTGGAGGGGAGAGGAAGGAAAGAGGAAGGAAGGAAAGGAAAGAAATAAGGAAATAAGAGGAGAAATTAAGAGCTGGAGGGGAGAGGAGGAAAAGAGGAAGGGAGCAGGGAAGGAAAGGAAAGAGGAAGGAAGGAAGGGATGGGGAGAGAGGGAAGGAAGGTAAGAAGGAAATGAGAGGAGAAATTAAGAGTGGGAGGGGAGGGGAGAGGAAGGAAAAGAGGAAGGAAGGAAAGGAAGAAATAAGGAAATAAGAGGAGAAAATTAAGAGCTGGAGGGGAGAGGAGGAAAGAGGAAGGGAGCAGGGAAGGAAAGGAAAGAGGAAGGAAGGAAGGGATGGGGAGAGAGGGAAGGAAGGTAAGAAGGAAATGAGAGGAGAAATTAAGAGTGGGAGGGAAATGGAAGGAAAGAAAAGAGGAAGGAAGGAGGAAGGAAGGAAGGAAGGAAGGGAGGGGAGAGAGGAAAGGGAAGGAAGGTAAGGAAGGAAATGAGAGGAGAAATTAAGAGTGGGATGGGAGGGAAATGAAGGAAAGGAAAGAGGAAGGAAGGAAAGAAGGAAGGAAGGAAGGAAGGAAAGGATGGGGAGAGAGGGAAGGAAGGAAAGAAGGAAACGAGAGGAGAAATTAAGAGCTGGAGGGGAGGGGAAAGAAAGATGAAGGGAATGAAAGGAAAGAAAAGGGGAGGGAGGGAGGAAGGGACTTTAGACGTGAACATGGAAGCATCTTCCTTCTTTCTTCTCTTCCCAGCCTTCATGTACCGCCTGGATGGCAGCACCAGCCACCTGAACCTCAAGGTGGAAGACCTGAGTGTGGAATGGGACGCCATGGGTGGGAAGGTACAAGACATGAAAGCGCGAGAAAAGGACGGGAAGGGCCGAACCGCCTCCCCGGTTAATTCTCCAGCCAGGTAAGATCTTTGCTGGGTTTTGCTGGTTTATTTCTTCATTTAGTCAGCTTCAAATTTGATCACGTGACCATGGGGATGCTTCAAAGTCATAAGTATGAAAAACGGTCCTAAGTCACTTTTTTCAGTGCCGTTGTAACTTTGAATGATCACTAAACGAACGGCTGTAAGTCGAGGACTACCTGTGTAGCTTAACTCTGGCAAGAGTCTGTCTCTATGGTGGGAGCAGATAAAGAATTGAACTTCGGCTGGATTGCTTTATGTCATTCTCAAGCTAGGCTGATAAATACTGCCATTAAATGAATGCAGGTAGTCCTCCACTTACGACAGTTCATTTAGTGACCGTTCAAAGTTACAATGGCACCGAAAAAAGTGACTTAGGACATTTTTTACAATTACGATGCGTCGAAGCATCCCCATGGTCACGTGATTTACATCCAGAAGCTTGTCAACTGACTCGTATTTATGACGGTTGCTGTGTCCCCGGGTCACGGGATCCCCTTTTGTGAACTTCTAACAAGCAAAGTCAGCGGGGAAGCCAGATTCATTTAACAACCGCCTGACTAATTTAACAACTGCAGTGATTCTCTTAACAAATGCAGGAAGAAAAGTCGTAAAATGGAGCAAAACTCATTCCACAAGTGTCTCCCTTAGCAACAGAAAATTTGGGCTCGATTGTGGTCGTAAGTCGAGGACTACCTGCATACATTTATAATATGTCCCCCTCTGGGTTTTCTCATCCACAGGTGTGTCCAGTCTCCGAAAAGGATGCCGACAGGCCGCGGAGGGAGAGACCGATTCACCGCCGAATCCTACACGGTGTTAGGTAAGGATCTCGTCAGTATCCTGGGTCATCTTGGGGGTGTTAGACGAAAAATCTGGTCCAGGGAGGAAGACACAGGAAATAAAATGGAGGCAAACTGCAGGTAAGGAGATCTCTGTTTAGTGAGACGCCGGAAACTTCAGTGACAGCAGCATGTTTCTGGGGTGGCTGACAAAATGAGGGTTGAGATAGGTGAGCTTTTATAAACTCTTTGGGGCTTTGCAATGGAGATGCCTGTTGTGAAATGTACTTTAACCTGTGTTTCAGTGTGCCTTTTTACTCAGGGGTGAAATCCATCAGGTTTTTCCTTTTTTTTTTTGCTTTTTAATTTATATGCCGCCCTTCTCCGGAGACTCAGGGCGGCTTACAATGCGTTAAGCAATAGCCTTCATACTTTTTTGTATATTTATACAAAGTCAGCTTATTGCCCCCACAATCCGGGTCCTCATTTCACCTACCTTTGAAAGGATGGAAGGCTGAGTCAACCTTGAGCCTGGTGAGATTTGAACTTGCAATAATTGCAAGCAGCAGATGTTAATAACAGTGCTTCAGTCCACTGTACTAACAGGCTCTTCTGATAGGTTCTGGAGAACTGGTAGCGAACATTTTGAGTAGTTCGGAGAACCAGCAAACGCCACTTCTGGCTGGCCCCAGAGTGGGGAGGGAATGGAGATTTTGCAGTATCCTTCCCCTGCCACGCCCACCAAGACACTCCCACCAAGACACACACACACACAGAACCAGTAATAAAAAAATTTGGATTTCACCACTGCTTTTAATATTCTAATTATTGTTGCCTGACTCACATTGTGGCTGGGAGGTCATGTCCTGTCCTTGGAGCTGGATGGGGGAATGTAGATTTTAGGCTTCTTTCTTTTTTTACATTTTAATCCCATCAGCTTCAGCCTTTTGTGGGAGCTGTGGCTGAAGGTGTTTTGCTTATGAATAGGGTGGCCTGGCTTTCTTAATGGGTACAAAATATCCGTCGCTAAAAAGATTTCAGGATTCTGCTTGAGCTGTTTTCCAGGAAGACTGGGCCTGCTTTCTGCCTTTAAGAACATGTTCCTCCATTTCTCCTTTAGGGGAAATATAATATTCTGCCTCTTTTAATATCCCCCAAAATATTTCATTCTCTGGGGGAAGTGGGGGATGCTTAATAAACATTCGGGAAGTCCACAAACACTGGCTGAACATTCTGGGAGTTGAAGTCCACACATCTTAAAGTTGCCAAGGTTAAGGAACACTGAATTAAACTCAGAAATCCAGGTTTATCATAGGTTTATTCAGGAGCGGGATTCAAACATTTTAGCGACTGGTTGTCCGCCCAGTTGCTGGGTGGGCATGGCATGGCCATGGTGGGTGTGGCCTACTTGGCCTCCTGCACCACGGCGGGGTGTGTGTGTGTTTCGCCCTCCCCAGGCTCCAGAGGCTTTTCTTGAGCCTCCAGGAGGGCGAAAACGGCCTCCCCTGGGCTTCGAAGGCCCTCCGTAGGCCGGAAACGGGCCCGTTTCCAGACTTCCATAACTTCCGAGAGGCCTGTTTTTTGCCCTCCCGGAGCCTCCCTGTGGGCCCTGCACTTTCCTGGCATCCAAAATGGGCCGCATGGAGACTCCTGGGAGGGGAGGGGTGGGGTGGATGGTGCCAGCCAGTCCTTTCAACTATCGGTTCGGCGAACCAGAAGTAAAATTAGCATCCGATTTGCCCGAACCGGCTGAATCCCATCTCTGGGTTTATTTTAGCCAGTTTCTCAAGCTCAGTGACTTTAAGAAACGTGAAATTCAACTCCCAGAATTCTGTGATGGGTAGGTGAGGGTGGAGCTTCTGTAGGAGGCGGAGCTACAGAGCTCAGAGAAGTGGGTGGGGCCAGGAACTAAATTTGCAGCTGATGGGAATTGACTGGAGATTCCTGGCTTAATGATTATTTTTAAAGGTTCAGGGAGATAATTTTAGCTCCATCCTGGCTCACAATCTCTGTTAGCTTGTTAGGATTGCATTGGTATTTTTTCTCCTCGTGCCTTGATTTTTGTTTAGGGAGGAAAAAAGTCACTTTTAAGCAGGAAAGAAAATGTCACAAAAATAACAGAGTGCATAGTTGGAAGGGACCTCAGAGGTCTTCTAGTCAGGCCTATAACTTTGGCTAGGAAAGTCACACATTGCAACTGTCTTGTGCTAGGTTTGTTTTATATTTTATATTATTATTTTATTTTATTATCAAGCTTGTATGCCACTCATCTGGCCCAAGCCGACTCCAGCCGTTTTACGGATATTAAATAAAATATAGTATAAAACATTGAAACAATAAAGTTACTAAATTTAAAATTAAATTAATTCAATTTTTTGTGGTTATTCCCACAATTCCCCATACTTTGAAGCACGTAGCTGGGGAATTCTGGGAGTTGAAGTCTAGACATTTTAAAAGTTGAGAAAGACTGCATTAAACACAGATTTAGGTTTATTTTAGCCAGTTTCTCAAGATCAGTGACTTTAGGAAGCAGGGACTTCAATTCCCAGAATTCCCCAGCCATGGCTGGCTGGGGAATTCTGGGATTGTTGTTGTTGTTGTTCTTGTTGTTGTTCTTGTTGTTGTTCTTGTTGTTGTTCTTGTTGTTATTATTATTATTATTTAAATTTATATACTGCCCTATTCCCGAAGGACTCAGGGTGGTGAACAGCCAAGGGATAAAATATACATAATACAAATGTTAAAAAACCATTTAAAAATACATTAAACACTTTGGCCCACGAACAAATTTAAAACACCCCAATTTATAAAACAAATTGAGTTGAAGTCCATACATCTTAAAGTCCCTGAGCTTGAGAAACGCATTGATTTTAGCCAATGAAAACCAAGCAAACGGATTTATCAACCAATCCAAGGGCTCGATAATTCTTCCCGTTGCAGGGGACACTCTGATTGACAGCGGTGACCACTACTGGGAGGTGCGTTACGACCGGGACAGCAAGGCCTTTGCGGTGGGCGTGGCTTATCGGACTTTGGGCAAGTTTGACCAGCTGGGCAAAACTTCTTCTTCCTGGTGCCTTCATCTGAATAACTGGCTGCAGGTCAGCTTCACAGCCAAACACAACAACAAGGCCAAAATTTTGGACATCCCAGTTCCGGATATTCTAGGCGTCTATTGCAATTTTCACGAAGGTAATTTCTTATGACTAGATGGGTGACGAATAAATTGAAATAATAATAAGGGTTACCTGTATTTAAACAGACTACAGGTATAAAGGGGAGGGGCTTGGAGAGTGAGCACGTATTTAGCATCTTGATGGTTTTGACTCCGCCCCTTTGATAGGCAATATGAGGTCATGGTGGGGAGGGGAGGGGCTTGCCTCTTCCCTAACGGGTTCCCGTGGTGGGCGTGGCCAATCAGGACTATGGGCATGGCTATTTGGTACAGCAGAGCTTCCCTGTGGAAGAGCAGTCTACCTTAGAACGTTACTGCCACTTCTTTGCCTCTTGGGGAGGAGGCCGGTAATCCCGAACGTACAAACTGTTTCGTTTCAAAGTTACAACGGCGCAAAAAAAAAAAAGCGACTTAGGATCGTTTTTCACGCTTGCGACCATCAAAGTCGCCAATTCACCTAAAACCATGTTACTGGCTTGCCAAACTGGGCACAACTCACTCAGTAACAACCACTTTGCTTAGCGAAGGAAATTCTGGTTCCGATGATGGTCATAAGTTGAGGACTGCCTCTAGAAACACCAGGAAGGTGTAATAACGGGTTTTTTGGGGGAAGGGACTTCCCCAAATTTTCCCTGTCAGATTGGGATAGATAAATTTTGTGGTCCCCCTTCTACTTCTTCTTGTCCACATTCTCTCCTTTCCCTCATCCCTCAAGAGCCCCCCTTTTTTTCCCTTTTCCTTCTTTTGCAGGATTCCTCTCGTTCTACAACGCCAAAACCAAACAGTTGCTTCACACGTTTCGGGCCAAATTTACCCAACCTGTTCTCCCGGCCTTTATGGTAAGAGATTCGGAAGTGGTAGCAGAGAAGAAACTTGTGGGGTTTATAACATGCGATGAAGATCTTTGAAATACTATGAAAATACAAGATTCTAGTCCTTGTGGTGGGATTTTGCTGGAGGACGGGAAAAGCTGAGATCTATTGAACTACCGTACTTAAAGGAGATCAATTAATAGATTGGATCAAGGAAGTGAATTATGCCGGATGAAGTGACAGAACCACATACCCCACCATAAATTTATTAAATTATTAAATTAATATGCCGCCTGTCTCACCTTACAAAGCAATGCTGGGTTGGCTGATTTATATTTATTAATTTATTAAATTAATATGCCGCCCATCTCGCTCTGCAAAGAATCTCTGGATGGCTGATTTATATTTATTTATTTATTCATTCATTTATTTATTTATGTACATCTAGGCTCTAAAGGATTAAAAATCATTCCTTTTTTTCTTTCTCCATATCTAAACCTAGAGTATGCCACACTAGCACAATAAAATTCAGCTAAGTGAGAAATTAGAAGTGTAGAATTATAGAACCTTGGAAGTGGGAGGGACCCTTGAGGGCATCCAGTCCACCCTCCTCTGTTGTGCAGGGGTCCAAATTAAAATATCCCCCCGTTGGATGGTGGCCCAGCCTGTATTTAAATACATCCCATCGGGTTTCCACCAGGCACGCAAACTGCTCTTATTGTTAAGAAGTTTTTCTTTCATTCAACCACAATATCTACTAAACTTAAATCTTAAATGTGTTTGGGGTCTGGAACCCATAAGGATTAGAGTCTGTCTTCCGATGTGACTTCCCTGCAGGTATTTGAAAACTATTGTTAAATCTCTGTCTTCTCTCCAGCCCTTCACGACAAATGTCTACCTAATTTAATTGAATAATTCAATGTCATTTAATGGATTAAATTGAATAATTCCATTGATTAAATTTAATTAATTTAATGAGTTTCACTTGATAATTTAATTTAGTGTGATTTAGTTGAATAATGCAGTTTAATTTAATTTTAATTTGATGCAGTTTAATGTAATTTAATAATTGAATTTGGTTTAATTGGTTAAATTTAATTCATTAAATTAATACTTTATAAATGGGCCAACTCCCATTCTGAGTCTGGGCATTCCACAGTATGTGGCAATTAAAAATAGAATAATGCAGAAGAATCACCTTGTGGCAAGACAAGGAAGGAAGATGAGAGAAGAAAGGAAAAAAGGAAGATGAGAAGGAAGGAAGGAAGGAAGGAAGGAAGGAAGGAAGGAAGGAAGGAAGGAAGATGAGAGAAGGAAGGAAGATGAGAGAAGAAAAGAAAAGAAGATGAGAAGGAAGGAAAGGAAAGAAGAAAGGAAGGAAGGAAGAAAGGATGGAAGGAAGATGAGAAGGAAGGAAGGAAGATGAGAGAAGGAAGGAAGGAAGGAAGGAAGGAAGGAAGGAAGGAAGGAAGGAAGGAAGGAAGGAAGGAAGGAAACATCGATCCTACATAGCAGCCATCCAAAAAACAAAAAAAGCAATAATCAGCCCTATCAAAATACTACACTTTTCAACGGAGCGCTAAAAAAAATCATGGAAAACAGCAGGAATCTTTTCGGCATTGTCCAAAATCTTCCCTTTTCTCCCCTCTCTTGCGGACCGATACAAAATTCACATTTTTCCCCTCCCAAAACAAACGTGTAGCAAGAGTGGCTTAGCTCTGAAGATAAGTGCATCACTCAGGAGGAGCATCCATGACAGGGAGATCAAAAAAGTCAAAATGGCAGACCTATGTCCTGCAAAGATTCCAGAGGGGTGGCTCTTAGAGCATTTGTGGCCACCACGACTTTTGACCTGTATACACATATACATACATACATATGTGTGTGTATGTGTGTATTGCGGTATTCTAGAAGTGGAGTTCTCGCCTCACAATTAGGAGGCTGTGAGTTCGATCCTAGGTAGAGGCAGATATTTCTCTCTCTGGGCACAATGAGAATATATCTGCTGAACAAAACTCTGCATTGGTGACAGGAAAGGCATCCGGCCATTAAACATTGCTAGCTCCATTCAGTTACCCAGACTCCACCCCACAAGGAATTATGAGGTCGTTAAATGATGATGATAGATAGATAGATAGATAGATAGATAGATAGATAGATAGATAGATAAGACAGACAGACAGACACCTTACTTTTTAGAATTTTACAGCAGCCTCCTTGTTTTGCTTGTGATCTCTTGAGTTTCTATCATTCTTTGGACCTGTTGCAAATTTTTTTCCCCCAAGCTTATTTTCGGTTTTTCTTTTCTTCCTGGTCAGGTGTGGTGTGGCAGCTTCCACGTCTACTCCGGTTTGCAAGTTCCCAGCGCCGTCAAATGCCTTCAGAAGCGCAACAGCGCGACTAGCAGTTCCACTACCAGCCTCACTTAGTGACGCCCGTCACGTTCCTCCTTTCCAAGACGGAGAGACAGTCCATTCACGGTCACAGACCCCACTGTATTTAAAAAAAAACAAACACCACCAATATATCTTCTTTTTTTTTTTTTTCTTCCAGGTTTTGGACCCAGGGGTCTCCAAACTTGGGAACTTTAAGCCTCATGGACTTCAACTCCCAGAATTCCCCAGGCAGCATGGAGAGCGTGGTCCATAAGTGGCACCCGCCTCTATAATCCTGGGATACGAAGATCCATCTTCCAACTATGGGACCAGAGACTTCTAAGGTGCCTGGATCCATAATTCATCCTAGAGGACGGAAACCATAGAGAGGGAATCTTTGGAAGTCCAGCTCCTTGGCACCAAGTCGAGGAAGCCATTTTGATGTCTTTCAAACCAAACATGGCCGGCTGAGGAATTCTGGGAGTTGAAGTCCACGCGTCTTAAAATGGCCCCAGTTTGGAGACCCCCCCCTGCTTTAAGCACTCGTCGTGGAGACTTACAAGACGTTAGCTGGAAGATATTAGATGATTTAGATGGGATTGCAAAAAAAAAAAAAAATGGTGCCCTTGATGGATTTTAATCCCAGGGTTCCCCCTCGGTTATCCGGTGCCGTCAGTGGGGTGACGAGATGGCGCCTCTCGTGTAGCACGAAAATTTGTTGAAAAAAAAAAAAAGGACATTAGAAGCACTGTGCATTCTCTGGTTTTCTGACCCCTCACACCCCAAAATTTTCCCCAAATTTACAGAGGCAAGCCACTCCCGTTGCAGAGAGCAAAATTCTGCAAAAATGAGTCTGCAAAACTCTTTAATCTGGCCTGAATGAATTACTCACCCAATCCAAAATCTCTTTTCTTTTTTTGGGGGCTGGATTTTGGAAAAGGGGAACGTTGCTTCAAATGATAAACAATGGATTTGTCTGAATTTTGGCTGTCGGCTTGCGAAAGCTAGGTTATTTCTTCCGAACGGTCTCGAGGGGAGAAAACCGTTTTTTCCGTCGCTGTTATTCGAGTCATGATTTTATCCGGAAGAATAAACTAAGATGCTAGTCCTCAAGAAGAAACCTAAGATTCTAATCCTAAAAAAAAAAAAAATAGTTTCTAGTCCTCAAGAATTAAAAAAAAACCCTAAAGATTCTAGTCGCGAATAATCTAAGATTCTAGTCCTCACGTTTCTGAATAAAAGGCTGCTTAGAAAGGAAATCAGAAGCTGTCGTATAATCAGTTTGCAGATATTTGAGACTCTCCATCGTTTTGAACCAGGCAACCGATAAGACTTCACTTTACCACTGTTCCATTTAGCAACCGTTAGTGGGGGAATTCTGGGAGTTGGAGTCCACACGTCTTAAAGTGACCGAGGTTGGGAAACTCTGCTTTTGGTGATAACATCCTTGGTAACTCCATCAAAAGGGCTTATAATTTTGTTCCGTGAAGTTTTTCCGACTTTTAACAGTGGGATTTAGAAGCCTGCCATTCCTTGATGTCTCCCATCCAATGACTAACCCGGCCAAATGTTGCTTCCAAGCTCTGATAGCGTTGTTCAATACTGTAAGTAAGCAAATAACTTTATTGTTAATCACAATTATAACATACATACACAATAACAAAACAATAAAGCAGTGAAATACTAAGAGACAGCAATAAAAATATTAGAGGCAGAAAAAGTCACAACTACAGATAATCCTTAACTTACAGTTGCTTGTTTAGTGACTGAAAGGGCACTGAAAAAAGGGATTTACGACCATTTTTCACACTTAACAACCGTTGCAGCCTCCCCATGGTCAGGTGATCAAAATTGAGATTCTTGGCAACTGGTCCATACATTTAGTCCTCAACTTACGACCACAATTGAGCCCAAAACTTTCTGTTGCTAAGTGAATTTTAGCCCATTTTATGGCATTTTTTGTCACAGTTGCAGTTGTTAAATTAGTGACACGGTTGTTAAGTGAATCTGGATTCCCCATTGACTTTGCTTGTCAAAAGGTCGCAATGGGGATCATGTGACCCGAGGGGACACTGCAACTGTCATAAATGGGAGTCAGTTGCCAAAAGTATTTGAATTTTGATCACGTGACCATGGGGATTCTGTAATGGTCATAAGTGGGAAAAACGGTGGGAAAAACGGTCATGTCACTTTTTTCAGTGCTGTTGTAACTTCGAACGGTCACTAAATGAACTGTCGTAAGTTGAGGATTACCTGTGATTACCTTTATGATGGTCTCAGTATCACGTGATTCCCTTTTGCGACCTTCTGGCAAGCAAAATCAAAGCTTAACAACCGTGTACCACGAACAACGGCGGGGATTCGCTTAACAAACTGTGGCAAGAAAGGTCGTAAAATGAGGCAAAACTCACTTCACCAAATTCGGCCACTTGGCCACTGCCTCACATTTATGACAGTCGCAGTGTCCCCCTCGGGGTCACATGATCCCCTTTTGCGAACTTCTGACAAGCAAAGTCAATGAGGAAGCCAGAGTCACTTAATGACCATGTGAAATTGTTGTAAAAGCTCACTTAACGACTGTCTCCCTTAGCAACAGACATTTTGGGGCTCAATTGTCATCGTAAGTCCAGGACTACCGGTAGGCCCACCTCAAACCTTGGATATCCCAAAAGTGTGTTGCTCTTCCTCGAGCGTCTTTTTCTCCTCCATGAGGGAGAGAAACTTACCTTTTATTTTAGAAGGAGAGCTGCGATGTTGCTTCGATCAGCTCTTTTCTGGGGAATCTGCGCAAACTCCTTTAAAGGTGGAATTGCCAAAGCAACATGTTAGCCAAATGAAAGAAATAATTCAGAAATGCAACGAAGGTGATAGATTTGGCCAGATCAAGGGAGGTTAATCCGCTTGGCAAAATGAGATTTGTTGGTATTTTTCTTCGTTTTAATGTCTCATCCTTCAACCAGCTTCTGGCCTTCGTAATAAAATTCAGATTTCTCCATAAGAAGCAAACGCCTGCCGGCCTGTGAATAAGTACAGATCTAACAGGAAAAAAAAACACCTCACCATACTCATACCCGTGTTTCTGAGGAACTCGTGATACTTTGAAGTTACAATGGCACTGAAAAACGTGACTGAGGCCAGGTCCTCGGACTTATGTCCGTCGCAGCAACCGCATGGTCATGTGACCAAACGTTGGGCAGTTGGCAACCAGGATGAATTTAGAACAGTTGTACTTGGGTTCACTGGGTAGAACTGTTCACCCTTTGTGATCTTCCCACCTTCCTCCTCCCTCCCTCCTTCCTTCCTTCCTTCCTTCCTTCCCTCTCTCTCTCTCTCTCCCTCCTTCTTTCTTTCCTTCCTTCCGTCCCTCTTCTCTCGCCCCTTCCTTTCTTCCCTCCCTCTTTCCTCTCTCCCTCTTTCCTTTCTTCCCTTCCTCTCCCCTTCTTTCCCTCCCTCCCTCCCTCTCCCTCCCTTCCTTCCCTCCCTCTTCCCTCGCTCCTTCCTTCCCTCTCTCCCTCCTTTCCTTCTCTCCCTCCCTCCCATCTTCCTTCCTTCCCCCTCTCTCTCTCGCTCCCGCCTTCTTTCTTTACTTCCTTCCGTCCCTCTTCTCTCGCTCCTTCCTTTCTTCCCTCTCTCTTCCCTCTCTCCCTCTTTCCTTTCTTCCTTTCCTCTCCCCTTCCTTCCCTCCCTCTTCCCTCGCTTCTTCCTTCCTTCCTTTCCTCTCTCCCTCCCTTCCTTCCCTCCCTCCCTCCCTCTCCCTCCCTCCCTTCCCTCCCTCCCACCTTCTTTCCTTCCCACTCTCTCTCTCGCTCCCTCCTTTCTTTCTTTCCTTCCTTCCATCCCTCTTCTCTTGCTCCCTCCTTTCTTCCCTCTCTCTTCCCTCTCTCCCTCTTTCCTTTCTTCCCTCCCTCCCTCCATTCCTTCCTTCCTTCTCTCTCCCTCCTTCTTTCTTTCCCTCCTTCCTTCTCTCCCTCTTCCCTCCCAACCTCCCGGCAAAAGCCATGAGGCGAGCCAAATTTGCTTAACGACCACATGGATCACTTACCGACTGCAGTGATTCGCTTAACAACCACGGCAGCAAAGGTTGTAAAATTGGGGGTGACTCCCTTAACAAGTCATTGCCTGACTTAGCAAAGGAACTTTGATCCCCATTGCGGTTGTAAGTCGAGGACTATCTCCCCAGTACCACAAGATGCATAGAAAAAAAACTGGATGGCTGAGGAATTCTGGGAATTGAAGTCCAGGCATCTAAAAAGTCGCAGAAGTTGGGAAAAGTGCCGGTCGAGACAAGTGGAATCCACAAAGCTTAGCTTTTGGCATCCTAACCAACGTACATCTTAACGTGACAACCAATAAATGAATAAATAAAAATCCTTTTTCGACTTTTCTACTCAGCTTTTTAAGATGGAGACTTGCAGGTTCCTCATTAGACAATCCTCCTTTCCGTTTTTCTTTTCTGAAGTTAGTCTATTTAACTCAATAAGGTGAATGTATCTGACACAGGTTCTTCTTCCTATTTCTCTCCAAAACAACCACCCTGCGAGGTGGGCTGGGCTGAGAGAGAAAAAGATTGGCCCCAAAGTCAACCAACTGGTAGGACTAGAATTCACCTCCCAGTGATTAGCCCAAAGTCACTCAAGTGACTTTCATGCCCAAAGCGGGACTAGAACTCTCCATCTCCTGGTGATTGGCCCAAAGTCACCCAGCTGGCGTTCATATCTAAGGCGGGACTAGGGCTGTCTCCTGGTGATTGGCCAAAAGTCACCTAGCCGGCTTTCATGCCTAAGGTGGGACTAGAACTCACCGTCTCCCGGTGACTCGCCGAAACTCACCCAGCCATCTTTCATGTCCAAGGCGGGACTAGAACTCATAGTCTCCCTGTGATTGGCCCAAAGTCACCCAGCCATCTTTCATGCCTAAGGCAGGACTAGAACTCACCATCTCCTGGTGATTGGCCCAAAGTCACCCTGCCGGCTTTCATATTTAAGGCGGGACTAGAGCTCACTGTCTCCTGGTGATTGGCCGAAAGTCACCCAGCCATCTTTCATGCCTAAGGCGGGACTAGAACTCACCATCACCCGCTGATTGGCCCAAAGTCACCCAGCTGGCTTTCATATCTAAGGCGGGACTAGAACTCACTGTCTCCTGGTGATTGGCCCAAAGTCACTCTGCCGGCTTTCATATTTAAGGCGGGACTAGAGCTCCCTGTCTCCTGGTGATTGGCGCAGAATCATCCAGCTGGATTTCATGTCTAAGGCGGGACTAGAACTCACGGTCTCCTGCTTTCTAGCCTGATAACTTCATCACTGTTTTTTTGTCCCTGGAGCTAATAGATTTATAATTGAGATTGGGCGGTGAATGCCAAAATAATAAAAACAACTTTGCTTGTTCAGTTTTCATTGATTCCTTTGGATGCCCTGAGTGAAAAATATTGATTTTGTCTCAGAGATTGAGCGGTTCCAAGACGGGACTATATTGTGCCTCTCCTGGTTTAGAAAGCCTTATATCCGAGTTCACGGTTGATTAAAAATTCAGGGTGGTTGATGAAAATTATTAAAGTAGGGTTCACTGCACACTCGGCCCCTTTGGACATGTATGTGGTCATGTCAATGTTGCCATGGCAACTGAAGGGGAAAAAACTCTGTCCCTCTTCCTTCTTTCACCGTTTCCTTCCTTTTCCCCGTTTCCTTTCTTACTCTTTTTCCATTTCCTTCTTTCTCCTCTCCTCCCTTTCTTAATTTTCTTTTTTTTTCTTTCCTTTTCTCCTTCCTCTGCCCCACTTCCCTCTTTTCTTCCACTTAATCTTCTCCTTTTCTTTCCTCGTTTCTTCCTTCCTCTCCCTTTCTTTTTCTCCCTACCCCTACCATCCTTCCTTCATTTTCTCCTTCCTTCCTCCCACCCTTTCCCTCCCTCCACCTATCCTTCCACTTTCCTCCCTTTCTTCTTCCCTCCCTCCACCTACTACCCTCCCTCCCTTCCCTTCTCCTGTCCTCCCTTCCTCCCTTCCTTTCCTCCTCCTTCCCTTTCTCTCTCCTTCCCTCCTTCCCTTTTTCCCTCCTTTCCTCCCTCCACCCTCCCTCCCTTTCCTTCTCTCCTTCCTTCCCTCCTCCCTCCCTTTCGCTCTCCTTCCCTCCTTCCCTCCTTTTCTTCCTCCTTCCCTCCCTCCACCCTCCCTCCCTTTCCGTCTCCTTTCCTTTCCTTTCCTTCCTTTCTTTCCTTCTCTCCTTCCCTCCCTCCTCCCTCCCTTTCTCTTTCCTTCCCTTCCTTTCTTCCTCCCTCCCTCCCTCCCTTTCCTTCTCTCCCTCTCTCTCTCCATCCCTCCCTCCCTCTCTTTCCCCAAAAGAAGAGGTTATTTCCCTAAACTGCTTTGTTTCGCTAATCAGCATTGCAAGACATCCCTAGTTTTAAAAATTGAATTTATGACGGGGAAATAGAAAAGCATTGCGTGAAACATGATTACCGCACCAGCAAACAAACCAGTTTAGCTCTGTGCATGTCATAACACCCACACCCCATGCACACACACCTCGTGTGCCCCGTATTCAGACAAGGATGAAGACCAGAAAATATTTCTTATTATTGTGTTCCAGGAAACAATAGCTACATGGGATAGTCTGCGAGTCTGGCCAGGAAGGGCTGGTAGTTCCGGATTAACAGGGTGGGGAAAATTACTTTTCAGATGAATGGGGCTTTATTTATTAGACCAATGAAGGCTTAAGGAATGTGGCCTTATATAGGTAGTCCTCGATTTACAACAATCCATTTAGTGACCGTTGGAAGTTACAACGGCACAGGAAAAAGAGACTTACGACCGTTTTTCACAGTTACGACCGTTGCAGCCTCCCCACTGTTCAAATAATTGGATTTGATTGATTTCAAACAAATCCACCAGGACCCTGCAATCTTCCCGCCCCTAACTGAATTCCAGATGTTAAGAAGAAGACAAGAGAAAGCTGGAAAACCCAGCCAGCTCTCTTGCACACTTCTGAGTAAACCCTTGCTGGAAGAACAGGTGGCAAAGGACCCCATTTCCAGAATAACAGAATAACGGAAGGGACCTTGGAGGTCTTCTAGTCCAACCCCCTGCTGAAGCAGGAGACTCTCTACCATTTCAGTCAAACAGCTGTCCAGTCTCTTCTCGAAAACATCTGGTGTTGGAGCACCTACCAATTCTGGAGGCAAGTTGTTCCACTGATTAATTGTTCTCATTGTCAGTAAATTTCTCCTTAGTTCCAGGTTGCTTCTCTCCCTGATGAGTTTCCATCCATTGCTTCTTGTCCTGCCTTCGGGTGCTTTGGAGAATAGAATAACAGAATTACAGAATAACAAGAGTTATTGGAAGGGACCTTGAAGGTCGTCTAGTCCAACCCTCTACTCAAGCAGAAGACCTGATGCCATTTCAGACAAATGGCTGTCTAATCTCTTCTTAAAAACCTCCATTGTTGGAGCACCCACAACTTCTAGTGGCAAGTTGTTCCAGTGACTAATTGTTCTCACTGTTAGGACATTTCTCCTTAATTTGAGGTTGCTTCTCTCCTTGATTAGTTTCCACCCATTGTTTCTTGTCCTGTCTTTTGGTGTTTTGGAAAATAAATTGGCCCCCTCCTCTTTGTGGCAGCTCCTCAAATACTGGAATATTGCTATCATATCACCCTTAGTCCTTCATTTTACTTGACTGGACAACATCCACTTCCTGCCACCGTTCTTCATATGTTTTAGCCTCCAGTCCCCTAATCCTCTTTGTTGCTCTTCTCTGCAATCTTTCTAGAATCTCAAAATCTTTTTTACATCGTTGCAACCAAATCCGGATGCAATATTCGAAGTATAAACCGAGTCTTAGAGGCTTGCAATCTAGCATTTGAAGCCAGTTATCTGAAATCATGGTTGGCGGGGTGTAAATTAATCCTACATTGGTCATTTTGCTTCTCCGTTTCGGCCTAGCGACTGACGTTCACCCGTGCCACTTGACTTTCTCCCTGTGGTGTGTCACACAACTCTGCTTCGCGTGAGATTTGTTTTTCCTATAAACGCAGCGAAAGTGTGTTGTTGCCTTGCCCTGGATTTGCAAGTGTGGTTGGGTGGACCAAGGCTTAGTTTTGCAGGAATCATGTGAAGTTCATCCATCCAAGAATATTCCAAGGGTCCTGTAAATTCCCCTTGATCTTCTAGTCCTCTTGATTTGTTAGAACTACTTCCTCCTATTTCCTCAAACTTTGGAATCAGAATTGTGATTAGATTTTGCCGATCTCTTCTCAAGAGCCCGGTTAGCCTTAACAGAATAACAGAGTTGGAAGGGAACTTGGAGGTCTTCTAGTCCAACCCCCTGCTCAGATAGGAGATATACCATTTCAGACAAATGATTCTCCAGTCTCTTCTTAAAAACCTCCAGCCACAACTTCTGGTGGCAAGTCGTTCCACTGGTTAATTATTTCCTGGATCCGAGACTGATCGGTTCTTTCTTCATGCCACTTTTAGGAATTCTCCTCAAATCCACTTCAAATCCCCTCTTAACTTTTAACTGTGGGATCGGCGCTGGCTGTGACATCACAGCAGCCCAGCCAATGGCTACGAAGGAGGGTCTCAAAGCCAGATCAAGGGTGGGTTTTCTAATCCGGTCCGTTAAACGATCTGATCTTCCCGCAAAACAGGATCGCTGGTTCGCCCAAGAGAGCAGATTCCAGAGGGATCCAGAGGTAGATTTGGTTGGGAGTTCAGCCGGTTCGTCTCTTCCTTGTCACCGTGTGGATTCTTTAATCAAAATGTCCGCCGTCTTTTAATTCTCCATCTTGGCCCTTCGTTCCTCAAGTTTGCGTTTCAGCTCCTCGGTCAGCTCTGCAAAGAGAAACAACACGTCAGCAACACACAGCCTGTTCTGCCCCAGCTACGGAACCCAAAGAACGCAGCACACACAAAGTCCGTTCAAACCTTTAATAAATTTAAATAAAATAAATTTTATTTAATAAATTTAAACTTATTAAATAAGTTTAATAAATAAATCAGTCTTTTACAACAACGGCTGTTAATTAACTGCATTAACAGCCGCCAAGAATTCAAAGAATAATAACTGAAAGCTTACTATGGTTGGCAGAATGCCCAGAAGCAATTTGCAGGAAGCTGATAAGATAAGCAAGACAAGACACGATGGTATGTGAACGAAGTTGTTCCCTGCAAATTGCTTCAGTGGCGTTCCTCCTTAAACAGGCTAAGGGAGTGGCCAATTAGCCCCAAGCCTTACTCTCGAGGAGACCTCCTCCTGAGGAGCCACTCCTGACTTTTGGCAGTTCTGCGTGCCCGTGCATCGAGAAGAGGCTCCTCCTTTTCGTCCTCCTCACCGATGGAAGCTTCTGGAGGTTCTGAAGGCCCTGGATGAATCCCTGCCTCTGGCACCACATCTTCTCCAGCCTCCTCATTGTCCGACTCGAGTGCCAGCTGCACAGCTGCTGGCACAGCACCACACCAGCCTCCTCACTGTCGGAATCAGCTACTAGCTGCACAGGCCACATATGGGCCACAACATACCCAGAGCAAGTTTGAAAATTAAAGGGAATCCTCACTTAATGACCACTCATCTTACGAAGTCCGAAGTTACGACAGCCACAGAATGGGAGTTTTACAACCCCGTAAAGCAGGGCAGGTTGCTGTAAAAGGGTCACATCGTGCCCCCCCCCTGTGGTCACATACCACAAATTGAACAACTTTGCTTACCTTTAACAGGTTGCGCCGTTCCAAAGCCACGTGACTGCAATTTGCCAGTAAAAAAAAAAAAATGCCTGCAGGTAGTTTCCCGTCTTACGACCGTCTGTTTAGTGACCGTTCAAAGTTACAACTCCACCGAAAAAAAGCGACTTATGAGTGTTTTTCATGCTTACGACCCACGGCCATGCGATCAAAATTCAGACTTGGCAACTGACTCGTACTTATGACGGGCGCAGCGTCCTGAGGTCACGCGATCCCCTTTTGCGAACTCCTGACCAGCAAAGTCAACGAGGGAGCCAGATTCACTTAACAACCCCGTTAATCACTTAACAAATGTCTCACTTAACAACAGAAAATTTGGGCTCAATTGTGGTCGTAAGTCGAGCACTACCTGTGATTAATGACATATTGATGGAATCCAGTAAGTGGATTTATGGACAACAATAAACTAAACTTACCAGTAGTGGTTCTTCTGAATAACGGAGTCTTCTCTTTGGTGGAAGGTACATCATTTCTGGGGGAAGATTTACCCTCGAGTAAGCTGCCTTTAAGAGATTTAAAAAAATGTATGTTGAGATGTGGAGACTCTGGGAAGAGTGCAGAGAAGAGCAACAAAAATGATGAGGGGACTGGAGGCTAAAACATACAAGGAACGGTTGCAGGAATTGGGTATGTCTAGTTTGATGAAAAGAAGGACTAGAGGAGACAGGATAGCAGTCTTCCAGGATCTCCGGGGCTGCCACAAAGAAGAGTGAAGTGAAATTCACTTATCTTTGTTACCGGTTCGCAAATGTGAGCACGCTTGCTTACTCGCTCGCTATGCTCACACGCGCCTCCTCCAGTGGTGGGTTGCCCCCGATTCGCACCGGTTCTATAGAACCAGTAGTAAACCCTAACCCTAACCCTGACCCAGAAGAGCGTGCATGCACGTGAGTGAAGCGAGCACACACGCATGGCCCCGTTACAAACCGGTAGTAAAGGTAAGTAAAGATAGTAAAATGTGGCCGCGTGGGGGATTATGGGAGCGACGGGGCGCTCACATATGACACCTCTCCTGCGCGAGCTGCACTGGCTTCCTGTGGTCTTCCGGGTGTGCTTCAAGGTGTTGGTGACCACCTTTAAAGCGCTCCATGGCTTAGGGCCAGGTTATCTGCGAGACTGCCTTCTGCCGCCAATTGCCTCCCACCAGCCAGTTCGCTCCCACAGAGAGGGCCTCCTCAGGGTGCCGTCGGCCAGACAGTGTCGGCTGGCGACCCCCAGGGGGAGAGCCTTCTCTGTGGCAGCACCCGCCCTCTGGAACGACCTACCCCCTGAGATACGCACGATATCAGACCTCCGGACTTTTCGTCGGGCCCTGAAAACACACCTATTCCATCTAGCTGGGCTGGCTTGATCCCATCCTCTCAGTTTTAATTGAATTTGGTTTTAATTGGGTTGTTTTTAATATCTTGGGCCGAAATTATTTAATTGTTTTTTAAATTGTTTTTAAATTTTATATGCAATGTTTTATCTTGGCTGTACACCGCCCTGAGTCCCGCAGGAGAAGGGCGGTATAGAAATAAAATAATAATAATAATAATAATAATAATAATAATAATAATAATAATAAAGTAGAACCCATCCCTGGCCTCCTCCACATATGCACAGAGGGTCGAAAACAGGATGTGATGACATCCGGGCAGATGGGCGGAGCCTCCTGCCACCGGCGCTACCAGTTTGCCTGAGCTGGATAGAACCGGCTGAATTTCACCACTGATCCTATCCTATCCTATCCTAAACTGTAACTTTGAATGGTCACTAAACGAACTGTTGTAAGTCAAGGACAGACTGTATCCCCAAATTCCAACTGTATGTAACACCAGGAAGAGAGATTTGCCCTAGGCCAGTGATAGCTAACCTTTTTGCCATCGCGTGCCAAAAGCTGGGGGAGTGCCCACACCCATAATTCTATGTGCCCTGCTCCCCCCACAAACTCATGCGTGCGTGGACACCCCCCCTCACATGTTCCCCCTGCTTTTGGCATGTGATGGCCCGGTGGGCCCGGTAGGCCCGTTTTTTACCCTCCCCAGGCTCCAGAGGCTTTCTAGGAACCTGGGGAGGGCAAAAACAGCCTTCCCGCCTCCCTGGAGGCCCTCTGGAGGCCGGAAACAGCCCGTTTGCCGACTTCCGTTGGGCCCAGAAGGGCCAACAATCAGCTGGTCAGCGTGTGCATGTGTGCTGGAGCTGAGCTAGGGCAACGCTTGCGTGCCCATCAATATGGCTCTGCATGCCACCTGTGGCACGCGTGCCATAGGTTTGCCATCACGGCCCTAGGCCCTAAGTCCTCCTTCAGCCTTAGAAAAGATCCTGCCCACTGTCCCATTACCTGCCTTTAGCCCCAGTGGTGGGTTGCCCCCGGTTCGGACCAGTTCGTAAGAACCGGTAGTAAAACCGACGGGAGGCTCCGCCCACTGCCCCGGATGTCACCATAAGCGATCTGCGCATGCGCAGAAGCTTCTGGGCATGTGCAGAAGAGCGCCTGGGTGCGATGCGAACCGGTAGTAAAGGTAAGTGGAACCCACCCCTGCTTAGCACATAACATCCAATGCTCCTATTTAAATTGGAAGAATCATGAGGACCAGAATCCTTTTTCTTTTTTCTTTTTTAAAGAAAGAGACCAGGGTTCATAGCTCAAGGCTCTTTGGATATATTACCCTGAGCATCGTCCTGTCTACCGAACAAATCTGGACAAAAGCTTGTTGCTTTTGTCGTTGGATGACAATAATTGACACGAGGACCCAAGTCTCCCAAACCGTACCGGATTTCGGTGGCCTTTTTGGTGGTTTGGGAGGTACACGAACAGGTGGTGGGGGCCCTTTCCACCTCGCTTCCTGGTCCCCAGGTTCATCCCACGCTGCACCTGCACCAGGTGGAAAGATAGAGAAAATATACCTCAGTTCTCACGGCAGAAAATTTCATTAAAAAAAAAAAAAAGTCCAGATAGTCCTCGGTTTACAACAGTTTGTTGCAATGGCTCTGAAAAAAATGGACTTACGACCGTTTTTCATGCTTACGACCGTTACAGCATCCCTGAACTCATGTGATCCAAACGGGTGACTAACTCCTATTTATGACGGACGCCGAGTGCAGCGTTCATGTGATCCAGTAGTGATGGCGGCAGGTGGTTCGGAGAACCGGTAGCAAAAATCCCTGTGTCCCCCCCCCACAACCATGCCCAGCTGAGCCACAAGATCATCAGAGGCTTTTTTTTTTTTTGATGCTCTTCAAAGCATTTTTTTCTGCAACCTCTTGGCCGAAGAGGTGGTAAAAAAAATGCTTTGAAAAGTCTCTGACGATCCCAGCTGAGTTGCCTGATCGGCAGAGGCTTTTCAAAGCATTGGAAAAAATGCTTTGAAAAGTAAAAAAAAAAAAAAGTTGGCCACACCCACCCAGTCACATTACCCCACCCCCCCTGACCAAACCACACCCACAGAACCGGTAGTAACAAATTTTACATTTCACCCCTGGCGTGATCCCCTTCGAAGTCAATGGGGAAGCCAGATTCGTTTAACAAGCGTGTTACTAGCTGAACAACTGCAGGGATTCACTTAACAACTGTGGCAAGAAAGGTCGTCGAATGGGGCAAAATTCACTGAACAAATGTCTCACTTAGCAACAGAAATTTTGGGCTCAATTGGGGTCATGAGTCCTAAAACCTAGCATTTTTTACCAGATTTCTGGATTTTTACCAGATTGCCCCTCAATCCGCTGGAGGAACAAACCTCAAATCCAACATCTCCTCTGTTTGCAACCTTCCCTGCCGTCTTCCCCAATGACTTTCTGGAGAAGCCGGCGGGGGGAAAAAAAATCACAAAAGATGATCACATCATCACAAAGCACTTGGCAACTGGTTGTAAATGCGAACAGGTTGGCAAATATCCGAAATGCAGTCATGTGACCGGGGGATTATTTATTACAGCCAGAAGTATTTTACGGGCCATAAAGCACCCTGTTCCAGTTGTGAATAGTCCTTAAATGACAGTTTGTAAATCGAGGACTACCTGCAATCCCAAATCAGACCCCGTTTTATGATAGCCAGGAGTGTTTGGCTATAAAGCCCCTGTTCCAATTGCGAATAGTCATTAAAAGAACAGACGTAAGTCGAGGACTACCTAGAATCCCAAATCAGACCCTGTTTTATGACAGCCAGGAGTGCTTTATGGGCCCTAAAGTCCCTGTTCCAGTTGTGAATGTCGCTAAACATTTTGTCGTAAGTCAAGGCCTCCTTGAAATCCAAAATCAGATCCCTGGAGTTGCCCATATGAACAGGAAACAGCCTTTGAAGTAGCAACAAACTCTATTTATGTATTTATATTTCGTATTTCCTAACCGCCCCACTCCCTCAAGAGTGGGGCTCTGGGTGGCGTACGATACAATCAATAAAATGAACGCTAAAAATCAGAATAATTTAACGATTAAAAAGGTTAATTTTTTTTAAAAAAAAATAACATAAATTTTCCAAAAGCTGAAAAATTCCAAATTTCACAATTATGGCATCCATTTTGATTTTTTCCACACCAGGGATGAAATGCTACCGGTTCAGACCGGTTCGCCTGAACCGGTAGTAATAAATGCTACCAGTTCGGGCGAATCTGAAGTAAAAAAAAAAAAAAGCTACCGGTCTAGGCGATCCGGTATTTCCGACGATTAGCTGTGCCGTGCGATTTATATTCGCTAGAAAGCAGGAAATCCTGCTTATTAGCGAATCTAAATTGTGCGGCACAGCTGTTCCTTCCCCCTCGCTGTTCTACTTACCTTTGCAGACTCAGAAAAGGCTTCTTAATCCTTGTTCTGCCCCAGCTACGGACCCCAAAGAACGCAGCACACACAAACTCTATACAAAGCTTATTTTACTCAAATAACTTAGTCTTTATCATTCAAAGGCTGTTAATGAACTGTCTTAACAGCCTACCAGAATTCTAAGATAAGGTAATCACAGTCTTACTAGAGTTGGCAGAAAGCCCAGAAGCAATTTTGCGGACACGAAGGAGAGTGAACTAAAGTTGTTCCCTACAAATTGCTTCAGTCGGCGTTCCTCCTTCAATAGGCTAAGGGAGTGGCCAATTAGCCCTAAGCCTTACTCTTGAGGAGACCTCCTCCTGAGGAGCCACTCTTGCCTTTTGGCCGCTCTGTGCGCCCGTGCATCAAGAAGAGGCTCCTCCTCTTCATCCTCTTCACTTATGGAAGCTTCTGGAGGTTCTGAAGGCCCTGGCTGAATCCCTGCCTCTGCCACCACATCTTCTCCAGCCTCCTCACTGTCCTACTTGAGCGCCAGCTGCACAGGCTGCTGGCGCAGCACCCCACCAGCCTCCTCGTTGTCTGAATCAGCTACAATCTGCACAGGCCACTGACGGGCCACAACACTCCTCCTTTTTCAGGGCTGCGTGGTAGCGCTTGTGGTGCACATGCGCATAAAGCATGTGTTTGATGCGCACTACACATGCACGCACGAAGCGAACCGGTAGCAGACTTCAGAGCATTTCAACCCTGTTCCAAATGCCTGCATTCTAAAATCGCTCTCACTTCCAGCCTGGTCTACCTGCTAGGGTTGTTGTTCCGCTGGGGATTGTAATATCACTCGCGTGATCCGCCGTTCTCCACTCACCTTCTTCGTTCACGTACGTCTTCTGCGGAGGGTCTTCCTCCTCGTAGACATGAATGGGTTGGGGGGCCGATGCCCAGCGTGGAGGCGGGATGGGCACGATCGGTGGCAGAGGAGGAGGCTGGGATGGCCAATTCGAATTCAGCGATTCAACGCTCTTTTGTTTCACAAGTTCGCCTGCAGGCAAATGGAGAGACGTATAGGTGATCCTCGACTCGTTCAGTGACCGTCCGAAGTGAGAGCGGCATTGAAAAAAGCGCTTTTCACACTTAAGACCGCTGCAGTATTCCCAGGGTCACGGGATCAAAAATTTGGGCACTGGACCACTGGTTCATATTTGTGACGGTTGCAGTGTTCCTGGGGTCAGGAGTTCCCTCTTTGCGACCTTCTGACCAGCAAATTTGACAGGGAAGCCTGGATTGTTTTTAACAACTGCTATGATTCAATTAAGGACTGTGGCAAGAAAGGTCGTAAAATGGGGCAAAACTCACTTCACAGCTGTCTCACTTGGCAACGGAAATGTTGGACTCAGTTATGGTCATAAATTGAGGACAATCTATAGTGGGGAGATTCCAGCCAAGCTGATCAATCCATTAACTGTCTGTCTGTCTGTCTATCTATCTGCCATTTATCTATTATCTATCTATCTATCTATCTATCTATCTATCTATCTATCTATCTATCATCTATCTATCTACCATATCTGTCAGCTATCTCAATCATATCTATCTATCTATCATCTATCTATTTATCTATCTATCTATCTATCATCTATCTATCATCAATCATATCTATCTATCTATCTATCTATCTATCTATCTATCTATCTATCTATCATCTATCTATCTATCTATCTATCTATCTACCATATCTGTCAGCTACCTCAATCATATCTATCTATCTATCTATCTATCTATCTATCTATCTATCTATCTATCATCTATCTCTTTCATGAGGGACACGGTGGCTCAGTGGCTAAGACACCGAGCTTGTTGATCAAAAGGTCGACAGTTCAGCGGTTTGAATCCCTAGTGCCGCGTAACGGGGTGAACTCTCATGACTTGTCCCAGCTTCTGCCAACCTAGCAGTTCGAAAGCAGGTAAAAAATGCAAGTAAGAAAAATAGGGACCACTTTGGTGGGAAGGGAACAGCGTTCTATGTGCCTTTGGTGTTGAGTCATGCCGGCCACAGGACCACGGAGACGTCTTCGGACAGCGCTGGCTCTTCAGCTTTGAAACGGAGATGAGCACCGCCCCCTAGAGTCAGGAACGACTAGCACATATGTGCGAGGGGAACGTTTACCTTTACTTTATCATCTATCTATCTATCTATCTATCTATCTATCTATCTATCTATCTATCTATCTTCTATCTATCTTCTATCTATATCATCAATCTCTATGCCCACTGCCAGGAGTTCGATCCTGACTGCCTCAAGGTGGACTCAGCCTTCCATCCTTCAGAGGTGGGTAAAATGAGGACCCAGATTGTTGGGGGCCAAAAGGCTGATTCTGTAAACTGCTTAGAGAGGGCTATGAAGCACCGTGAAGCAGTATATAAGTCTAAGTGCTATTGCCTATGTATATTTCATATTTCTAAAGCAGCCATCTCCCTCAAAAAATGCGACGGGGCAGGGTACAATATAACGCAACCGATAAAAAAACAACGTCTAAATCCTAACCTGAGAAACTGAAAAATTAAATTAGGGATAAGCATTTCAAGATTATATTATATAATGATAATTAAAACACCCGAAGGTGGAGGAAGGAAATCCCCAGATAGCTATTTAGTGTTGAATTATTACAAGTGGGGGGGTGGGGGGGTTTCAAGTGACTAGCTAGCCCCACTGTTGTGGGGTCCTCTCTCTGCCCCCCCATTCCATTCCATTCCATATTTTCTATTCTATTCTATTCTATTCTATTCTATTCTATTCTATTCTATTCTATTCCATTCCATTCCATTCCATTCCATTCCATTCTAACTATCTCTTGGCAAAGAAAATTTTGTGGAAGCGTCATAGCATTCATGGGCCAATTTGAAGCAGGAAGTAAAACAGATTCTTCCATGATCCAGGTGCGAATTCAGAACCGGAATTAGCATCAAAGTACCTTTACCAGGTGGTTGGGGCTCTTCAGGCTCCAAGGGGGACCCCGACATGCTCTGCTCGCTTTCCTGATCCGTCTCCATGACCTCTGCAAAGGAAAGAAGTCCCGGTAGAAAATGGGGAGGTGCTTCTGACTTCTGATCACATTTTGACTTACAGGTAGTCCTCGACTTACAACCGTTCGTTTAGTGACCCTTCCAAGTTACAGCGGCACTGGAAAAAAAAGCGACTTAGGGCCATTTTTCACACTTAGGACCTTTGTAGCATCCCCGTGGTCACGTGATCAAAATTCAGAAGATTGGCAAGTGGTTCGTATTTAGGACCCGGGTACCTTCGAGACCGTCTTCTGCCACCAATAGCCTCCCACCGACCAGTCCGCTCCCACAGAGAGGGTCTCCTCAGGGTGCCATCGGCCAAGTTATGTCGGCTGGCGACACCCAGGGGGAGGGCCTTCTCTGTGGGTGTCCCAGCCCTGTGGAACGAACTGCCCCCGGAAATACGTAAGATCTCCGACCCCCGGGTGTTTCGCTGCGCACTGAAGACCCTGTTGTTCCGCCAGGCAGGGCTGTCAACATAATAATTTTAAATTGGGGTATTTTAATTTTTAGGGTTTTAAATCGGCCAAATCTATTTAATTATTTTAATTTTTAATTATTGTTGTGTCTTGTGTTTTTAAATTGGCTGTACACCGCCCTGAGTCCTTCGGGAGAAGGGCGGTATAGAAATAAAATTATTATTGTTATTGTTATTGTTATTGTTATTGTTGTTGTTGTTGTTGTTGTTATTATTATTATTATTATTATTATTATTATTATTGTCATAGTGTCCCCAGGGTCACATGATCCCCCCCCTTTTTTTTGCTTTAATTTATATGCCGCCTTTCTCCGGAGACTCAGGGCGGCTTACAATGTGCTCAGCAATAGCCTTCATCCTTTTGTATATTTATACAAAGTCAGCTTATTGCCCCCCACAATCTGGGTCCTCATTTCATCTACCTTAGAAAGGATGGAAGGCTGAGTCAACCTTGAGCCTGGGGAGATTTGAACTTGCAGTGATTGCAGGCAGCTGATGTTAATCACAGTGCTTTAGTCCACTGTACTAACAGGCTCTTTTATGACCGTCTGACAAGTCCAATAGGGAATCTGGATTCACTTAACAACCAAGTGACTAACTTAACAACGGCAGTGATTCACTGAACTGTCTTGCTTAGCAACAGAAATTTGGGGCTCCATTGTGGTCGCAAGTCGAAGATTGCCTGCTATTTCTCCCCTTTGCTCTCCAGCGCCCCAAACAATTCTAGATATATGGGGGAGGCTTACCCAGCGCCATGGCGTAGCTCTTCTCCACGCTGAGTGGCACGAGGATGCCCTTCGTCTTGGTGATGAAGAAGTCAAGCACCGCCATGAGGGAGGAGCAGTAACTCTGAGAGGGGAGAAAAGCGTGGGAATGGAGAAGGGGCCAAAGCTTTCCTGGAGTCAGCTGAAAAAACTCAAAAGATGACAGCGGAATTTCAAGACATTTGAAAACTCTCAGCTGTTTTGAGTTACTCCCGCCTTGTGTTGGAGTTCAGATGGCTGGGGATGGGAGAAGGAAGGAAGGAAAGGAAATAGAGAAGGGAGGGAGGGAGGGAGGGAGGAAGAAAAGGAGGGAGGAAGGAAGGAAGGGAGGATAGAAGGAAGAGGAAGCAGAAGTAGGGGAGGAAGAAAGGAAGGAAATAGAGAAGGAAGGGAGGGAGGGAAGAAATAGAGAAGGGAGGGAGGGAGGGAGGGAGGGAGGAAGGAAGGAAGGAGAAGGAGAAGGAAGAGAAGAAGGAGGGAAGGAAATAGAGAAGGAAGGGAGGAAGAAAGGAAGAAAAGGAAGGGAGGGAGGAAAGAAGGGAGGATAGAAGGAAGGGGAAGCAGAAGTAGGGGAGGAAGAAAGGAAGGAAATAGAGAAGAAAGGGAGGGAGGGAGGAAATAGAGAAGGAAGGAAGGGAAGAAGGGAGGAAGGAAGAAAAGGAGTGAGGGGGAAAGAAGTAAGGAAGGAAGGAGAAGGAGAAGTAAGGGAAGAAGTAAGGAAGGAAATAGAGAAGGAAGGGAGGGAGGGAGGAAATAGAGAAGGAAGGAAGGGAAGAAAGGAGGAAGGAAGAAAAGGAGGGAGCGAGGAAGAAGGAAGGAAGGAAGGAAGGAGAAGGAGAAGTAAGGGAAGAAGTAAGGAAGAAATAGAGAAGGAAGGGAGGAAGGAAGGAAGAAAAGGAGGGAGGGAGGGAGGGAAGATGGGAGGAAAGGAAGGGGAAGGAGGAGGAAGGAAGGAAGGAAATAGAGAAGGAAGGAAGGAAAGAAAGAAGGGAGGGAGGGAGGGAAGAAGGAAGGGGAAGGAGAGGTAGGTGAGGAAGAAAGGAAGGAAAGATGGAAATAGAGAGGAAGGAAGGAGAAGAGGAAGGAAGGATATAAAGGAGGAAGGAAGGATGGAAATAAAGGAGGAGAAGAGGAAGGAAGGGGATAGAGAAGGAGGAAGGAAGGAAGGAAGGAAGGAAGGAAAGAAAAAACCCACCTATAACCATGAGGTTGCCATATGCTGCAAGAGTTCAGCTGAGAACATGCAAGCTTTTCACATATTTCCCCACTTGCATGAGATCTAGTAACCTGGGGAGCTTGTCCATTTTAAAAAGTGTATATTTTAAACAAATAACTTGAAAAAGGTATCTGATCAAGTTCTATTCTCCACTCCCTTCTTTTCTAAAAACCCTTCATCACCACCACCACCCGTAACCCTCCTGGTCCCCTTACCGGCTTTTCCATAACGATGATGTATTCCCCACCGACGACGTTGATTTTATAGTGCTTGACACTCACGGCTCTGCAAAGAACACAAAACGGAATCCGAATTCTGTCCCCTCTTAAATTTCACCCTGGGGCGTGATTTCATTTAGGCCATTTCCAAGGCAAAATACAGGTAGTCCTCGACTTACGACTGCCACTGAGCCCAACATTTACGTTGTTAAGTGAGAAATTGGTTAAGGGGGCTTTGCCCCATTTTACGACTTTTCCTGACACATTTGTTAAGTGAATCACTGCAATTGTGACATTAGTGACACCGTTGTTAAGTGAATCCGGCTTCCCTGTGGACTTTGCTTGTCAAAAAGTTGCAAAAGGGGGATCATGTGATCCCGGAACACTGCAACCGTCATAAATGTGAGTCAGATGTCAAGCGTTCTGAAGGTAAATCACATGACCATGGGGATGCAGCAACGGTCGTAAGTGTGAAAAACGGTCGGAAGTCACTTGTTTCAGTACAGTTGTAACTTCAAACGGTCACTAAACAAACTGTTGTAAGCTGAGGACTACCTGTAGCAGGTTAAGCTCATTGTTCTCTGTAGACAGATGTCTGAAAGGCAGGAAGTAAGTCGTAAGTCGAGAACTGCCAGTAACCAGATCTTGAAAGAATGAACATTCTTTATTTTGGGCATTTTAGTATTTCATTGTTCTGAGCATTTTTATTCGTGAACTGGGATCCTAGGATTTCTGGGACTCTCTCTGTGTGTGTGTAAATTTAAAAAAACCCAGAAAACTCACCCATGCAACTTCTGCCGAACCGTCAACGAGAAACTCTTCCCATCCTGTCCAGGCCGCAACAACATGTTGCCGTAATTTTCATTCTGCTCCAGAAGGGCCACAGCTTCCATTCTGGAGACCTGGAAGAAACAGCTGGGAGAAGAAAGAAAGAAAGGAAGGAAGGAAGGAAGGAAGGAAGGAAGGAAGGAAGGAAGGAAGGAAGGAGGGAGGGAGGGAGGGGAGGGAGGGAGGGAGGGAGGGAGGGAAGGAAGGAAGGAAGGAAGGAAGGAAGGAAGGAAGGAAGGAAGGAAGGAAAGTAGAAGCAGGAAGGAAAGAAGGAAGGAGAAAGAAAGAGAAGAAAAAAAAAGATGAAGGAAAATAAACAAAAAATAGGGAGGAAGAAGGAAGGAAGCAAGGAAGAGAGAGAGAAGGAGGGACGGAGGAAGGAACGAAAGAAGGAAGGAGAAAGAAAGAAAGAGAGAGAGAGAGAAAGACAGAGAAAGAAAGAAAGAAAAAGGAAGGAAGGAAGGAAGGAAGGAAGGAAGGAAGGAAAGTAGAAGCAGGAAGGAAAGAAGGAAGGAGAAAGAAAGAGAAAGAAAAAAAAGATGAAGGAAAATAAACAAAAAATAGGGAGGAAGAAGGAAGGAAGCAAGGAAGAGAGAGAGAAGGAGGGACGGAGGAAGGAACGAAAGAAGGAAGGAGAAAGAAAGAAAGAGAGAGAGAGAGAAAGACAGAGAAAGAAAGAAAGAAAAAAGGAAGGAAGGAAGGAAGGAAGGAAGGAAGGAAGGAAGGAAGGAAGGAAGGAAGGAAGGAAGAACCAATCAACCTTAAGAGTGTGCGACACTGCAAGGTTTTTGGTCAACAGAAAGCACTTGGTTCCAGAGCTGCTCTATCTGCCCATTCTTATATTTATTTATTGGATGTTGATCAGGCCTTTATTATTTTATAAGTAACTCAAGGTACCCAACTTCCTCCTCCTATTTTTCCTACTACAACAACAACCCACCCCTGAGGTGGGTTGGCTCAAAGTCACCAAGCCAGGTCTAGAACTCTCAGTCTCCTAGTGATTGCCCAAAGTCATTCAGCCTGCTTTCATGTCGAAGGCAGAACTAGAACTCACAGTCTCCTGGTGACTGGTTCAATGTCACTCACCAGCTTTCATGCCTAAGGTGGAACTAGAACTCCCAGTCTCCTGGTGATTGGCCCAAAGTCATTCAGCCTGCTTTCATGCCTAAGGCAGAATTAGAACTCACCAGACATCTCCTGGTGACTGGTTCAATGTCACCCAGCAGCTTTCATGCCTAAGGTGAAACTAGAACTCTCAGTCTCCTGGTGATTGGCCCAAAGTCATTCAGCCTGCCTAAGGCAGAACTAAAACTCACCGTCTCCTGGTGACTGGTTCAATGTCACCCAGCAGCTTTCATGCCTAAGGTGAAACTAGAACTCTCATTCTCCTAGTGACTGGCCGAAAGTCACCCAGCCGGCTTTCATGCCTAAGGCGGGACTAGAACTCACCGTCTCCTGGTTTCTAGACTGGCCCTTTCACCACTACACCAAACTGGCTTGATGTGACAGTAATGCAATTCGTGGATTTTGAAAGAAACACACCAAGAAGGCATCTCCCGATCTTCATCACAAGTTTGTGTGAACAAACGCCGCCAGCAGCTCACAACTTACTCACTTGGGCAGTTTCTCTTCCCTTTTGAGGGTCACGCTGAGGTTGGATCGCCTCTCTTGCTCCTTCTCCAAGGCTTCAGACAACCTGTACAAGTGTCCCGGCAACAACGACACGGATTCCGGGATCTTCATCTAAGGATCACAGAAGACAGACTGAGCTGGTGCCCAAATCTACGTTTTTAAAAACATTCAGAGGTCGTCCTCGGCTTACGATGCCCAAAATTGAGCCCAAAATTTCTGTCGCTGAGCGAGACATTTGTGAAGTGAGTTCTGCCCCGTTTTACCACCTTTCTCGCCGCAGGTCGTTAAGTGAATCGCCAACGTTTGATCAAGTTAGTCAGGCGGTTGTTAAATGAATCTGGCTTCGCCATTGACTTGGCTGGTCAGTGGGGATCGCATGACCTCGGAAACACAGCAACGGTCGTAAGTATGAGTCGGTGGCCAAGCGTCTGAATGTGGATCATGGAGATGCCAGAAAGGTCGTAAGTGTGAAAAACGGTCCTACCTATATAGAAGGTACCGGTTGTCATTCACTTTTTTTCAGTGCCATTGTAACTTTGAATGGTCACTAAATGACCTGCTGTAAGTCGAGGACTGCCTGTGCAAATCACCTTAACGTTTGTTCCAGGGCTATTTAATTTGGATGGAAAAAAAAATCACATAATTACAGGTCGTCCTCGACTTACGACCACGACTGAGCCCAACATTTCTGTAGCTAAGCCCGGCAGTTGTTAAAAAGGAGCTTTGCTCCCATTTACAACCTGTCTTACCACCGTTGTTATGCGAATCGCCGCCGTTGTTAAGTGAACGCGGCGGTCGCTAAGCGAATCTGGCTTCCCCTCATTGACTTTGCTTGTCAGAAGGTCGCAAAAAGGGGATCACGTGACCTTGGGACACTGCGACCGTCATAAATACGAGTCACTCCATTTTAAGTATTGACACCCTGCTACTCTTGTCTGAATTTAAAATAAATAAGTACAAGACCTTCCAGAAAATGATTTATTGCTTAAGAAGGCTGGCAGAGAATAAATGACCCCCCTACCTCCAACATGGTGAGTATAAAACCTTTCCACATTTCCTGCTGTTCCAGGTTCTCCATCTGTAAAGGGAACACAAAGCCCATGTAAGGTACGCATGATGTCAGAATTGGAATTGTGGGATCATAGAGTCACACGGTTCGAAAGGACCTTGGAGGTCCTGGAATCACAGAGTCACAGGGTTGGAAGGGAGATCATGGAATCACATTATGGGGGGG